CCCACTCTAACTCAACTTCTGAGATGTCCAATGAGGTGTAGGTAGACTAACAACTCGGGGTGATTATGAATGACAAACTGAGGGCAGACAAACCCCAGTGGTGCTCAAGCACTTAATGTTTATTTCTGCCTTCAAGTCTGGCTATCACCAGCAGGGACTGGAAAGACAATAACTTTTGGTGATTTCTTTTAAGCTTTATGTGTACCCTTTCATAAAGCATGGAAAGTTCCTCTCTGGATCTCTTGTCTTCTATGACCACAGCAACACCCCATACTTCTCAGTTACCTGATTCTCACCAAGATGACTCACTTGTCACCCTAACCCAGGCTCCCAGAAGGCTCTGATAGTCCCTGTCAGAAGGAAATGGGTGGTAAGACTAATGTGGGGTGTCTTCTCAAATATTCTATACTTCAATAGAATTAAAGCTTAGATATACAATGTCAGCCCACAAAGGTCTCGTAGAATCCTCCTATTCCAACCGCTCTAGCACTTTACAGTTGGAGAAACTGAGCAACATAATGGGGCCGCCCTTATCACAGGATACACACTTAGGGGCAGACCATCTTCTCCCTATATTCCTTTTATCTTCACCAACAATCACGATCATCCTGTTGTTCGTCGATTGCCTCGAGCAGGCACCAGTAAAGTCTCCTTCGTCCTTGCCCTGAGATTTTAAAAAGTGCCATATTCAAGGCTCTTTCAGGGTTAGGAGAATGAGACCCATCATTGTTACTGGTATTTGGCATATTAGGTATGCCATGGGGAGTTTACCAGACTGCCGTGTGGGCAGTTTACATTCGGTAGCCTGCCAGGTTGTACAAAGTAAAAAGGGCCCTCCCGTTGATCGTCAATTTGCTCGAGCGGGCCCAGTAACGTCTCCATTGGAGATTTTGTTGTTACTGTGTCTGGCATATCGAATACTCTCGGTAGCTTGCCGGGCTCTCCGAAAGGGGCGGAGGAATCAAACTCGGGTCGGCCATGTTGGCCCCTTGTAAGGCAAACGCCCTACCCGCTGTGCTATCGCTCCAGCCCAAGAAAGAAATAATAAGATGTCACACAGCCGCAAATGCAGCCGCAGGCTTCTGGGAGCTAGGTTTTATAGTCTCTGGGTCTTGGCCGTTGATGGGATTACATGGCTCCAGGGGGCCAGTTGGTGGATGTGACCCCTGCCTACTGAAGATGGAGGATCTGGGTGGAGGATGCTCAGCCTTGAACCGAGCAGGCTTGGAGATTTCAGCCCCAGGACCTGCATGCCTTTGTTCCTCTGCTGGTACCTTCACCAACAGTACTCAAAAAAAGAAGAGTACATAAGCTTATTTCAAGTGAAAGAATTAGAAACAAAAGGAAGGAAATCATGGTCCTTTTTGGTGCCTTAAAAACCAAGCCCTATCACATGCTGGTTGAAAAGGCAGCTCAGATAGAGAAGGGAACACCAAGTAAAGGATGTTTAGGGGACTTGCTCAGGATGCAAGAGGTGTGCTGAAAGTAGACTATAGACTGAACACAATGGCCACTCAATATCTCTATTGCAAACTACAAGACTCTGAAGGAAAGAGTAAGCAAAAGAGAATGCCCTGCCACAGAGGTGGGGGGGATGGGGTTACTAGGATCATTGATGATGGAGAATGAGCATTGGTGGAGGGATGGTTACTTGATCATTGTATAACTGAAACCCAAGCACGAAAGTTTGTAAGTCTACAACTGTACCTCATGGTGTTTCACTAATTAAAAAAAATTAACAACACTAATTTTAAAAAAAAGTGTCCAAGAACAGTTGAGAAACTGGAATACTGCTTGGCTCTCAGATCAAATCATCCATCTGCCGCTACAAGGGTTTGACTGAAGATAATCGGGCTGAGTGAAGTTAGAAGAAGAGGGGCAGACACAGAACATCCTCCCTTATATGTGGTCTATAAAGAAACAACAATATTCAAGAACCACATATTCAAAAGCAGCAGAAAAGGAGAACTAGCCTTAATAGAACGCTTATCAGTATAAGGAGTGAGGGTATAGGACAATGGTGGAGGGTGTGTCATTTGAAACCCTGCCATTATCAATATTGTAAGTCATGGTGCTTAAAATAAAAAAAAAATAATAAAAGCATAAATAAAACCTTCCAAAAAGGAAAAAAAACAAACCCAAGTATGTTATAACCCAAGAACGTACTGTCTGGAGGACTGCATTGTCCCTGGGAGGATTGTAGAGTTCTTCTTCCCATTCCCCCTCATGTAGTAAGCATACAGATTTCTCTTAAAAGTCTTGGGATAAAGAGGACATGGAGTCATTGGCCAGAGAGATAGTACAGCAAGTAAGACACTTGCCTTGCATACATCAAACACAGGTTCAATCCCTAGGACCTCATATGGTCTCTTGAACACTGCCAGGTTGATCCCTGAAAACAGAGTGAAGAGTAAGCCCTGAGCACTGACAGTTATAACAAAAAAAAGAATACAGTCTCCAGAAACTACCAAAGAGAATCTGTGATAACTGTAAATCCCTTCCTATACCTGTCTCAGGGTAATGGAGTTCTCACAGAGGAAAGTGAACTGACCTTGAGATAATGGGGAAGGAGTCTAGTGAGAGCTAGGCATGGGACAAGACAGAAAAAGGGTAGGGTGTTATTCACACCATCCCCTTATGGAACTGAGCATCTAAGGATATCTCTCAGAAGACATTTTTTTTATTTTATAGCCACACTCAGAAGCTTCCAGAAGATGAAGTTTTCTGTCTACTATTTTCTAAGCATATATTTTCCAAATATTTCTCATTGGATACGGATTTCCTATTAAAATAGAACTTTTATAACTAAAGTAGCTCATCATAGTTTATTTTATTTGAATGAGTTTAATAGAAGGCATAGCAAGATTTAAAGAAATACTAATACCTATGTGCAGCCAGGCAATCTTCACATTATCAACTCTTCTTCAAATTTTACTCTCTTTCCATCAACATGTAAGTGGAAAATACTTTGTAATCCTCCTTGAGTATGCTGTGCTAAATTTTAAAGAGTAAAATTTAAATATATATATATATATGGAGAGAGAGAGAGAGGCAGAGAGAGGCAGAGAGAGAGAGGCAGAGACTAAGAGACAGAGAGAGACACACAGAGAGAGAAAGAGTCCTATACTGGGAGGTAGCCCCTAGTTCCTATAGTCTTTTGAATTATCCCTTCCTTCTTAAATAGAAGTCTTTGTTTGCCTGCTTGTAATTAAACCAGAAATAGACATTTAATTGTCTCCATGTGCTAACTCCTTCTAGTTGTTGCTCAGCTCATGATGTTCTCCAGTTCATGGCAGGTTCTAAGAGGGCAAATAATTCTTGTTTACACTGATCAGATCTAATAAATAAATAATGCCTTTTCTAATAAGGAGGCAATTCTTTATTACTAATCCAAACTTTCTGTCTCCTTCTCTTTTACCATTAGTCATAACACAATTGACACAGCAACTATTATGAGCCACCACCCCACCTGGGTTTTGATAGCCAGACAAAGTACTTTTAAAGGGATTAAATATTTCTCATGAAAATGATGGTACATAGTTTAAAGCATCCTGTCTTCTATAATAAATGTAATGTCTCTTTGAAGAATTAAATATATTTTCATTTCCTCTAAGTGCTCTTAAGTTGAATGTCCTTTGGCCATCTTTACCCCATAGCTCCCACCCTTCATCTGTCTGATCTTTCTGATTGAAAATCCTGTCACTGGAAACCCAGATAAGATGCAACTGTTTTTGTTGGCTGAGCATGTACTCATCCTCTGTTTATAAAAAACTGTGAAGAGGACTCTTTCTTTCTCTCTCTCTCTCGCTCTCTCTCTCTCTCTTCTATGACTGTTTATATTATTTATATACCTGGGATTTTGATATTTGGTAATCCAAGAAATGGAGAAAAAGAGCTTGAGTTCCAGGAATAATATCTAAGCAAAAACAAAAAATAATGAGATGATGGAACATGTTTCTTTCAGTGCCTGAGTCTGATTGAGCTGCTTACAGATAGAGAAAGAAACCAACAGACTGTGGGAAACTGTTTATGATAGCTGAGCTATTGCAGAGCACAGAGATGTAGGGCAGGCCAGGATTCCCTCCTGCCCATTCCTGCTGTGAATGCAGCAATGTTTGACTTCCCAAGGTCAAAAACACTAAGAACATAGAGAACTGATATCTATGATACAGACTCTGCAGATGCTATTATGGGCAATAAGAATGGCACAAATCCACCAAATGAATTTGGAAGGAATGATGTGAGAATGGGAACTGGAAGAGATAAAGAAGGAAAAAGAATAGGACATTTTTCTGGGTGAGAACCATAGATGATAGATATTATGAGAATTTTTTTTTAATCCATGAGTCCTCCTTGGGAATAACTACAAGAGTCTAAAGAATACTTGGAGCAGGGTCAGCTTTATTAGCTGGATCATCAAATAACTACCTTAATTTAACCATTAAAAACAAATGTAGTCTAAATAGTAAATCTTAATGATGTAATTCGGAATGAAAAGCAATGAAAAACACTAATTTTCTATGACTTATTAAAATGTATCAGAAAATTAGGTGGAATAATGGATGAATTAATGGAAGGATAATATGACTGATATCTATATACGATGAAGCAAATGTAACATATTAGCTTTTGCAGAACCTAAATCTTGTTTGAGTGAGTTCACTAGACATAATTTTCAACATTTTGATATGAGATATTTATATTATATAAATTTTCTGGCAAAAAGATATAATTGTGTACTATTTCTCAATCTTATGAGGTGTGCCAAAGCTGGGTGACAAAGTATTTCACTTTAGAACCCTTTGTCACTTGTACTAGTTGGAGATCTTATTCTCATCTGGTCTCAGGCTGATCCTTCTTTCTCTTCCATTCTTTCCCTGAAACATTTTTTTGAATATGCATTCAAGACATATTCATTTAGGCCCTGAGTGCGCTGTGGATAAATAGAATCGTGGAACAGCTGAGGAAATGACTCTCAGAATTTCCAAGGTTGAAGAAGATTAGGGCAACTTGTTTCTGTTAAGGATTTTCTTCAGAGCCTCCTTCACTTCCTTGTTCCTCAGGCTGTAAATGAGAGGGTTCAACATGGGGATCACAGTTGTATAGAACACAGACACCACCCGATCCTTCTGTGAGGACTGGCCAGAGTTATCTCTCAGGTACATGAAGATGAGGGTGCCAAAAAAGAGAGACACAGCAGTGAGGTGTGAGGCACAAGTGGAGAAGGTCTTGGCTCTACCTCCAGCTGATGGGATCCTCAAAATGGCCACAATGATAAAGAGGTAGGACACCAAGATCACCACCATGCAGGCAGGGATGACGAAAATGGCAAACACAATAATTACCATTTCCTGGGTATAACTGTCCCCACAGGTCAGCTTTAACAAAGGAGGCAGGTCACAGAAAATGAAGTCAATCTCATTGTTCCCACAGAAAGAGAGCGAGAAAGCTGAGACAGTCCGCACCAAGGCACTGAAGAAACCAGCTATGTAAGCACCGACCACAAAACCCACACGGGCCTTCTGTGTAATGATGGTGACATAAAGCAGGGGTTGGCAAACAGCCACATAACGGTCATAGGCCATAAGGGCCAGCAGGTAGCAGTCGATGGAGCCAAAGAAGGTGAAGAGGAAGAATTGAGCAGCACAACGCGTGTAGGATAATGTGGACCCATGCTCCATCAACACAGCCATCATCTGAGGCACAGTGACAGAGGAATAGCAGATGTCCATGAAAGAGAGATGACTCAGAAAGAAGTACATTGGGGTCTGGAGCCGGCGATCTGTGTGGATCAAAAAAATCATGCCCAGGTTTCCCAACAACGTGATGAGATAGATAAATAAAAACATAAGGAAGAGAGGAAGTGCCCATTCAGGATAGTCAATGAATGCGATAAGGAGGAATTCTGTAACTGAAGTGAGGTTCTTCTTGGCCATGAATTCAGCAGATATGGAGAGGGCTGGGAGGAGAAACAAGTTAAGAAGCGATAAGTAGATTTTAACTCTATTTCTAGTTTACACATATCAAATACAGATTATGGACTACATCTGCCAAGTGCTATGTGAAACTTCAAAGATGACTGGGTTTAGCACCCACCTTAATGAAGTTCTGTGACAGGATGGTCTCACTGTGTCAAGAAAAGTGAGATAAAGTGTTTCAAAAGTTAAGTGGGTGTTCATGCACCTTTCCTAGCTAACTAGCTATGTCAGCCCCTAGCTACCATGAGGATATTCATTTCAAGATTCAGTCCCTTTTCTCTACATTCATGCCTCATCAGTTACTTCAAAGCCTGTGCTTCTCTTGCCCAGACCAAGACAGCAGTCAAGTAACTAACAGCTCTCCCTGCCTTCAAACTTTTAATTCTTACTAATTCCTGCTCCAAAGTAATATTCCCGTCACTTTGATTTGCTTACCTCTCATTTCCCTGTAAAAATCCAGTCATGGCACTCCATCGAGGATAGGATATCACTTAATTTGGCATGGCAGAGAACACCTTCCCTGAACTCTCTCCTGCTTGCTTCTCTCATTTCTCTCACACCTACCGACAAGTCCCATCCTCCATTCACACTGGCTTCCTTCATCCCTCCCATGTTCTGTCACATCTCTATGCCATTTTTTCTGTCAAGATACCTTGTCTACCCCATCCACCCATCCTTCCTTTCTCCTACAAGATCTGAAAGTCTCAGCTTGGACTATACGTCCCTCAAAAATCCCTCTGGAGAGTCAGAGCAACAGTACAATGGGTAGAGTGTGCCTTGCACATGGCCTGACCTGGGTTCAATTCCTGGCATCCCATATGGTCCCCCCTGAGCACTGCCAGTAGTAATTCCTGAGTGCAGAGCTTAGAGTAACCCTTGAGCATTGCTGGGTGTGGTCCTCCAAAACAAACAAACAAAATGTCTCCAAAGTCTGTCTTCTCTGATCAGAATATGTGCCCATAAAGCTAAGCACTTTGGAAGGGTTTAATACATTTTTGTGGCATAAAGTTTTCAGAGGTAATATGAGGAACACATTTAAAAACAAGCAATGCCTGAAAGTTAAGAACTCACTAGAATTAATTAACACTCACAAACTGTCCTTGGATCTACCCTTCCATTCCCAACCTAACAAAAGACTTACAACAGAGCCATTATCTTCAGAAGAACCTCCTAGCTTGCCAGAAAATGATTTTAAAAGAACAAATATCATATTTTCTACTAAGAAACAACTAGATAAATACCAGCCCAAGCAATTTATGCATTCATTCATTCAAACTCCACAATCACTTTAAAAATTTCACCTTGCTATCCCCATTTTACAGATAAAGAGACTAAGACAGGAAAAGTTTAAATGATATGCCCAACACTGCATAGCTACGAAATGGTAGCACTCTCATTACCAGCGTAACTGCACCCAGAAACACTGTTTCTCATACAGCAAGATTTTACAGGCATCATACATCTACTGCAACAGCCCAACAGAGTGGGAAATGACTTCATTTCATTTCAGGAGACAAGCATGAATCAGCACTGCAGTCTACTCCTAGCCAAGGGCTGATGGAAACTTTTGTGCTAATGGGTGCAAAACCATTTGGCAGAGTTGCAGTGCAACCAGGTGGAGAAGATATTTGATCGCTACAGAATTAGGATTTGGAAGCTGAGCCAGTATCAGACTGACTTACTGAGAGAAGAGATAACTGAAAGAAATTGTATCTTAGGCTCTGAACTGAGCATGAATCAAGAAAAATGAATCCATCTTCTCACCTGAATTCCACTTCGCATTTGCCTAACCTTGTAAATGTTCCATACTGGTTCGCTTTTTCTTTAACTCTAAAAGGTCATTTTTCTTCTTCTACTGCTTGGAGAAGCCCCCATGGGGTGCCAACGAGATACCACTGGATAGTGGTACCAAGGAGCTACACTGGGAAGCAGGAGGTCTGCGTGGTTCTTGTCCTTCCATCCCTGCTCAGTCACAATGCTGAACAAGCTATTTAATCTCTCAGAGTCTCAATGTTCATCCCGCTCATCCTACTCTCCACTCATAAAAAGCTAAAAAAGAAAAAGGAAAAAAAGTGAATCAATATGGGGACACTAAAATTATAGTTGCCCACAGCTCATCCTTGCACTGAATCATGCCTCAAGTCCCCTTGACAGCTCTGATCTTCGCAGGATTTTCTTTTCTCTCTCTTCTCTCGTCTCATCATCATTCTGTCTCCATGGCCCGCTGAAAATGGTTAAGATACATTTCTCACCCTGCCTTTTGTCAATTTCAGCTTAGGACATAGGTGCTGGAGAACACCCTCTTCCTCTGGGCTCTGGGGCTGGTGCAAATCCCTTTGGTGGAAGACAGTAAGAGATGCCAGGAAAGCACAAAGCTCCCCGACTTGATGGCAAAAGTGGTCTCGAAGGAAAAACAATTATTTGTGCATGTGGATTCGGCACCTGATCCCAGTCCCAGCTCCCAAAGCCCTACCATATATCCACTTATGGGTCTGAAAACCTTGAGTCCCAGTTCTGTGTGGTCCCTTGAGGAGTGAGATGTCCCTGGCTATATCTCATCCTATTGGAACCATGACAGAAATTGTTCCCCTTTGCTACCCTCATTAGTGTAGTCATATCTTGGAAGTTCAGTGAAAACACAAAGTTTTGATCCCCATTATCAGGGAGGATACACTTGAGAGGGCACACAGGGAATTCAACAATAACACATCGTCTTCCAAGTTTGTCCTTCCTGGATCCAGGTGTTTTGCTTAGTTGCTGCCTTTGTCCTCCCTGCCCCGGTGCCCCTATTGAAAGGGAAAACAAAAGCCTGGAAAGTTGCCCAGAGGATGAACTGGCAGGTTCCTCTTGGCATGGCCTTTGCCAGCGCTCTGTCTTTAACACTGTAGTAGATCTTCAGCCCCAAATTCACAGTCATTGTGTTAAGTCATTGAATTTCAACATGCCTCAAATTAGAAAGGAGATCAGGAAGAGGGGAAGAGCAGAATAACTGTTTTCTTTAACAGTTATGATAACCAAGGAAAAATGAGACCACACACTTCATTGATTCATCGCTGTGCTAAGATTTCTAAATCTTGCGAGAGGCAATGAAATAAATCCTTCTGAAAGAGTAACCATATGCCTGTCTACAAAGAATATGCAATCTAATATGTGCTATAATTACCAATCCTGGGGGGGTTGGGGGAAGTAGGATTAAACGCTCAATTGTGGCATGAACTCAGTGTGGCAAGGCCATTGATCAATTAGGTATATCAGAGAGAGCTTCCTAGAGGAGTGAACTTTGCAGTCAGTCTAGCTGGAGGTTAGGATGTAGAGCTGTAGCACCGCCATCCCCTTGTTCATTGACCTGCTCGACTGGGCACCAGTAACGCCTCCATTGTGAGACTTGTTGTTGCTGGTTTGGGCATATTCAATACGTCACGGGGAGATTGCCAGCCTCTGCTGTGCAGGTGGAATACTCTCAGTAGCTTGCCGGGCTCTCCAAGAGGACCAGAGGAATCGAACCTGGGTCTGCCATATGCAAGGCAAACGCCCTACCTGTTGTGCTATCACTCCAGCCTTGTGCTGTTGCTACAGCCCAGAGGTTAGGATAAGCAGAATAATGAGAGAAAAGCTCAGGGACCAACCTAAGCAAATTTATAGGGGCAAGGGAGCCCAAGGACACATCCTGGGACAATAAGCAGAAATTCAGCTAGGATTTGGATCAAGCTAAGCAAATCCCAGACTAGGGAAAAGGTGAGGAAGTCTCTCACCTTAGATGTCAAGGTTAGCATGGCACCCAAAACTTTAGCTTACACAATAGACACTGCCACGTTATTAAAAAAAAATCAACGTGCAAAAAAGCTCTGCGATAACAAAAATCTCAAAATTTAAGCAAAACAGTACCAGAATTACTGATTTTTCTGTTATCTCGGCCTCTCATCTGACCTAGCAGAGTACTGGTTCTAGGACATGACTTGAAAAGGAAGGACAAGACCAAAGGCTTCCACGAGCCTTTCATTTCTTTAGAGATATTCCATTTCTTTTTCTCTCTACCCTTCACTTAGGAAAAGAAAATATAGAAAGGTCAACTTAATAATATCCAATACTTGAAGAGTATCTTTAACTGTTTCAAATGCTGTCTTCATCTCTCCACAAAAATCCTGTGGGACTGAGAGAGATAATGAGACTGCTCATTTGTCCTGATGAGAAAACAGGCAAAGAGAGTGGTCCAAGGTCATAGAAGCTGGATGGTGAATCAACTGAAAATTTCACCGGTCCTGTGATCGGTGAAATCGGTGCTAATGGACTATACCCAGGTCACAGTTCTATTGTCCAGAGAATGATTTTTTTATGAACACATACATGTCTTGAACATGCACCAGAGCTCACTATGGGAATAGGTAATCTCTCTGGAATATGCTTTATTTACATATTACCTGAAAATCATTATGAATTTTGTTTGTTTATTTTGAGGCCACACCCAGTCATGCTCAGGGATTACTCCTGGCTCTACATTCATGGAACTACTCCTGGAGGTTCATGGGGCACCATATGGGATGCCAGGAATCGAACCTGGGTGAGTTGCATGCAAGGCAAGTGTCCTACCTGCTATGCTATCTCTTCAGTCCAAGTTTTTTTTCTTGGTTTTATTGTTTTTATTTTTATTTTTTTACAAGGGAGGTTACACTTCGGCCCCAGCAGTCCTCAGGGCTTACTCCTGGCTTTCAACTCAGGGATTACTCCTCGAAGGCTCAAGGGACCATATGGGAGGTTAATAATCAAACCCCAGAAACTAAGCAGTGAATCCCAGGAGACCCAGTGCCAAAACGATTTCACTGGGGCATCTTAGATGGAGAGAGTGTCCCTCTCTGCCCACTCCAGATGAACTGCCGGTGACCACAAACTCCCAAAAGAAAACCCAGGTTCATGGGAGCAGGGACTGAAGACTCCAGGCCACATGGTGGGGGTGGGGATGG